AAAAAAAAAAAAAAGAAGATACAGCTAATAAGCAAACAAATAGAATCACTGAAAAATAACACTCAAAGAAAAAAACAAAGATAGAGAACAGAAATGGATGGGCAAATAGAAAATAAAAAGATGGCAGATTTAAATCTAACCGTAGTAAAGATTCCATTAAATGTAAATGATCTATATCTGAATTAAACAACAAAGATAATCAACTTGGATAAAATAAATAAAATCTATATGCTGTCTATAAGAAATGTTCTTCAAATTTAAAGATACAAATAGATTAAAACTAAAAGGATGGAGAGAAAGATACACCACGTTAACACTAAGCAAGAGAACAGTAAGAACACTATATAGTATTTCAACAGATTTAAAAACAAGGACTCTTACGATCAGAGATAGAGGGATATTTCATAATTATAAAAGGAAGCTAAAATAACTACTAATCTACAGACTCAATAAAATACTCCAGTCAACCATATATATGCATTAATCCAGTATCACCCTAAATTATATTTGAAAAATAGAAGCTACATCTCTACCACCAAATAAACTATTGCCCTAACAATTAATGATAATGCTAATGACATTTTAAAGTTAGGGATCAGAAATGGCCCAAGGAACAAACTGAGACGATAATCCACAGGACAAGAAGAAACTCTTCCCATTTATAAAATTGGTATGGTTTTCCCCACTTACACAGATGATAAGCAAAGAACATCCCTGAATATTTGAGGAACACGTCAAGACGCCATTTATTATGGGCCCACAAAGGAAAAACTCAAGACCATCTTTAAACAGAGTCTCCCACACTTACTACACACCTTTCTCCTACACTGATGCTTCTGACAGTCACGCATCTTAACACACTTAGTTTCGCACAGGTAAGGTCTGTGACACGGCATTCGTTTTGTGTGTTTGCCACAGCGACAATGCTTTTCCACTTCCTGAAAGAATCAAAAAATGCTATTAAAACTGATTTGTGTTATTATTCTCTATATTGTAATTATAAAACTTGAAGAAAACTTTTAATAGTAAATTCGTATGAAAGACTTTACCAAAAACAAATCTCAATTTCCTCAAATATTTATTTTTACAGTATATTACTTTGTTTTAAAAAGGACTTCATATGAATTTGTTATTCAACTCAGTGGAAATTTGTTATTAAATAGAAAAAAACAAACTTATTAAAACTACATCAACCATGTCTGCACATAATGTCTCAGTGAAGCAAAGAACTAGATTACCCAGTAAGCTAACTTACTGATCTGGGTATAATCAAAACTAAAATGACATATACAACTTTAAAGTCTGAAATCCAAGCATTTGTTTCTTTCCCAACATTGCCAATCCTAATTCACCACTGCCCTGAATGTCATCTGGGAACATTCCTATACTACACTATAAAAATAAGAACATCTGAACTTTTACCAAGTAAAAAATATAATTTTTAGATTTGATCAATGGCATACAGGCATACCATAGAAATAATAATGGTTCAGTTCCAGACCACTGCAATAAAATAAATATCACAATAAAGCAAATCATGCAACTTTTTTTGTTTCCCAATGCACACAAAATTTATGTTTACACTATATTGTTTTTAAAAAAGGTACATACCTTGGCTCAGCACCTGTAGCTCAAACAGCTAAGGCGCCAGCCACACAGACCAGAGCAGGCGGGTTTGAATCCAGCCCAGGCCTGCCAAACAACAATTACAAACAAAAAATAGCCAGGCGTTGTGGCAGGCACCTGTAGTCCCAGCTACTTGGGAGGCTGAGGCAAGACAATCACTCAAGACCAGGAGTTGAAGGTTACTGTGAGCTGTGATGTCACAGCACTCTACCCCAGGCAACAGCTTGAGGCTCTGTCTCAAAAAAAAACAAAAAAACAAAAAACGGGTACACACCTTAATTTTAAAAAGTTCATTGCTAAAAACTGCTAGCAATCATCTGAACCTCCAGCCAGCCACAATCTTTCTACTGCTGGAGGGTCTTGCCTCCATACTCATAGCTGCTGAATGATCAGGGTGGTTGGTGGTTGTTCAAAGTTGGGATGGCTGTAGAACTCTCTTACAACAGACAATGGTAGAAATCTTATAATAAGACAATGGTGAAAGTTTGCCACATCAACTGACCAATTTTCATGAAAGATTTCTATACATATGGGATTTTACCCACAGGAGAATTTCTTGCCAAAATGGAGTCAAGACTCTCAAACCCTGCTGCTGCTGTATCAACTAACTATAAATAACATTCTAAATCCTAATCCTTTGTTGTCATTTCGATGTTTATAGCATCTTCAGCAGAAAT